TGTCTCTCAAGCAGGAGAAGCAACATGGGCACTGCAAGACTTGACAGGGGTATCAGACAGCCTGTTATGTACTTCAGGTGATCAAAGACCTTCTCTAAAAATTGATTTTGATGGGAAACCAAGTATTTAGAGAAACAGTATTTTCATAAAAATACTGCTCATGTTCTGCAGGCAACTTTGATTTCTTTATTCCCTAGAAAATCCTAGATGCTTCAGTTTTCAGCCAAAAATATGACTCGGATCTAACTTTTTAGATTTATATTTTTTTTAACTGAAAAATGAATTTTCCACTGGGAAAACAAAAAGACACTATTTTTTTTTTCTTCTATCAGAATTCTGTTTTATATAAGAAAAACAGTACTTTTGCTTTTCAAGATAACTAGAAGCAAAACTAAAAACAATGAAAATAGGAGCAATAGAGCTCGCCTTACAAATAAGGCAATAATACTGCAAGGAAAAGCTCTTTGAAGATTCCGTTAAATGCAGTGGTATTGCCAGCCACCGTGTTGCCACTAAAGATCTGGATCACTTTTCTCAGTACTGCCCTTTACATTTTCCCTTAACCTTTTGACAACTGGATTATGCTGACCCTTTTCAGAAGAAGCTATTTCATTGCTGGGTAGAATGACTACAGCTTTCTGTCCTAAAGTTTTCCATATATAGAAAATGAATCCCTTCAATTCTGGTCTGCTTTCTCTCACTGTCTAAATATACACTGTTAATTTCTGTCTTTTTTGCTATCAGGAAATCCAGGAGGCTTGAAGCCCTTCATGCAGAAAGCAGGAGTGGAATTACATGCGCAGCAAGGCACAGAGATGCTGCAAGCCAAGACCCTTGCCTTTGCCCTCCCATTCCACCACTGCCCTTTGGTAGCCCTGCTTTCCCACCCACACCTCACACAATCCTAGTATCATAAAATGAAGGGACCTTAAAGATCATCACCTCCTAAGAAACTTCTCTCCCTCCCTCCCTCACCACTGAGGGGTGTGGGGAGCTGCAGGTCCCCAGTTATGTCTCCAAGGGAGTTTTTGTTTTTCCGTTGTTTGATGTAGGAAAAGAGTCAGAAATACACGTACAACATCTAACCACAAGCATTCAGGCAGGGCAGAAGTGTTGATCCTGCACAGTCAGTCTGCAAAGTACCTGTGCAAACCTGATTCAGGGAAAACGATGGGCCACATGAACCCTTCCAGCCTTCAGTGCAAGTCTAGGATCCTCCTTCACTAAACCCCAGCTAAGTGTTCTCCAAACCCAAACCCCAAAGATCTAAAATCCTACTGCGTGTTCCAGCACCCTGAGTTTAAACATGATGCATCTCTGATCTCAGCCTGGAATTGCCTTTGTGGAAAAAGCCTGCAGGAGCTGGCCTTTCTAACTGGAGAGAGTTACCTGCTCTCACCTGCTGTAAAGCATTATGAGACATTTGACTGTGTTTTCTGTATTTTGTAATTGTACCATTAGAGAAAAGAGAAATGTGATGGTGAAGGGAGTCAGCAAATCTCTCACTGCTTCTGATACAGCATTCTGGGAAGGATTAAAATAAAATAAATAAAATATTTTTCAATTTATTATTTAAATATACCACAAACCTAGCACAAGCAAAATATGCTGACAAAGAGCTCTTTGATGGAAAGAAAGGTCCTACACAGACACCAAGGGAAACACTGGGGGTTAACACTCCATTTCTGGAACAGCAAGAGCAGGTTATATGCTTTGCCCAGACTGTCCTTTCAATGCAATTCATACCTGCACCAGCCCTGGCAGAGATGCTGCCCCAGGTCTGCTCCCTGCATGGGATCTCTTTCTCCCCAGGCTGATAACGTAAACTCACTCCAGCATATGGCATTTAAATTCTGCTGGGTAACTTTCACTGGTAGCTATTTTCCATTCCCATTCCCCACCTGGTCAGCCTGTGCTGGGAGGGTTGGTTGTGAGCTCAGGGAAGAAAGCCTTTCTGTTCCCTTTGGACCCCTCCCATAGTAACCACTGAGATTATCACAGAAGAGAGTAGCATTCTGCTTCAGACACAGCTCAGACCCATAAAACTGGCTGCTCACCCCCACCACAAGGAAGGAAAAGTCCTCAGCGAGGCAATCGCCAGTGCCTGGCTTTCAGCCACAATCCCCAGGACCCCACCTTGCCCCACTTGGCCAGGACTTATTCCTCCTGGAGATGCAACCGTCCCTCCCAGCATGTTACAGAAATATTATTTACAAATTCAATTCTTATTATTAATAGCTATAATTATGTCAATTATTTATAATTTCAAAAGCCCCTTCTGGTCTTTTTTTTTGTTATTATTTTTTTTTATTTCCGTCTGCTTGGGTGCATATGGTGAGAATAAAGCATCTGCTTTGTTGGGAAGGAGGAAGACATAGAGCACACAACATCCAATTTCACAGCCTTTTTGATAAATTAAGTTGTATTTTGGGGGTAAAAGAAGGTGTTCATAATATTCCATCCTTCTGGCTGTTTTTTCTAAGCAATTGCTCATCAAAGAGTCTCCTCCGTGTCTGTTGTTGTCTTCCCTTGTTTCTTCTAATGGAAAGCTGCTCTCACCTCTCAGCCAGGCTGGGGATATTAAGTGCATCCTAATGATAATCCTTTTCATATGTGCAGGTGGGAGCTCAGTGCTCCAGCACACTGCATTTGCTAATAGGTTTATGCTGCATGTACTGTAATCACATAAAAAAAAGGCAGGATAATAATCTTCAGTGCAGTTTGTGGGATCAGTCCTGTAGCCTGGAAAAGTAAATGTATTTGTGCTCCTCATAACATCAACTTGACTAGATTATTCAGTTAAATCAGAGCTACCAACTTTGTACAGCGACATTAAACTTGGACTCTATGTTATCAGGAGGAATTTGAGCAGAAATGAAAAAAAAAATGATATCCTTAAATTTAACTGTAAGACCGGTTGAAGGATGAGTTTTAAATAACAGAAACTTTCTACTGCTACTTGAACACTGGATAAGGAAGGCTACACATTTAATCATTGCAAACCCAAGGATTAATAGTTCAGAAAGATGTTTATTCTTGGCACAACACATGGCTAGAAATCTAGTGCAATTTCATACAAATAGACAGCTTGCAGCATTTTAATAGGGTTAAATGAAATTATATCTGAAGTAACAGTCTTTTAATATACACACAGGATCTATGAGTTTGTCCAGTGAACTGCAAGACTTATAGGGAGATATGCAGATACAACATGATTTAAATTAAAAAACAAAACAAAACAAAACAAAGAACCTTCTACCAAAAAATCATAGAATTAAAGCCTCTAAGGATTCTTGCCATTCTTGCCAAAATGAAAACAGCTAATTCAGAGAACATATATTTTTCCAAACCACGTATTGATACTCCTCAGTAAAATGAATGTGATAATTGAAAAAAAAAAAATCAGCAATAGGATACTTTAAGCAGATGAGTGAGAAGATGGGGATGTTCTTCCTCTCTGGTTTCTCCCCTGTTTTCAAAACAACAAGCTAATTCCCTGCTTCCACTCTCTTGGAATTCTTTTTCAAACCTCTAAATCACGAAAAGGAACTGGCGTATTCTTTCTGTTTCTGATAATTCAGTGGCAACATTATCAGCACCTGGTGTTTTGTTGTTCCTGAGCTCCTGATTGCCTCTTGAATCACTTCAAAATTTAATTCTACCACAAATAGCTACTGTGTCTGGAAAACATCTGTTTATTCACTTTAGCCATCTCCCTGTAGTGGGCACATAAAAGTTTCTCTTCTGTAATTGAGTTTTTTATAATGAAAAGGTTTCCTTATTTGTTCTTTATCACACATAGATTCGGTTAATATCCTCTCCCCATGCACTGATATCCTTATAAGATGTGGTTATTTTACTAATCTTGCTATCCTGTTTCATCTTTTCCCCAAGCTAGGAAAGCATTGCCTTTCTTCTTAAGCAGCTGGCCTCATGACTTTCCCTTTGGCTTTGGAGTATTTCTCATGCAGAGTTCAATTTTGATTCTGAAGGCTACAGTCTTGCTATGTATTGATCACAGATGTTTTCGTGCTATCTATCAAACCATCCTTTTTCCTTTATTCTTGGATTTTTTCCTACAACCTATTCTAATGCTTTCTTTACCATCTCTCCACAGGTGTCCCACCTGGTACCAGTTTTCTCATAAACATCACACAATGTTTTGAAGACTCCAAGCACTTTTAACTACTGCCCAGTATACCTGTCCATAGTCTGCATCTCACAAAGACTATGTATTGTGTCTGTGCCTCATATGCTTTAATTCATCTTGCACAGTTCTTTGTTGTAGCAAATCATATTCCTACAATAGCATGAGCTCACTTGCAGCTAGCTCTCCTTTTTTCACAGTCTTGATGTCACTTCTATGTCCTGAATAAAACACTGTATTATGCAACCTCATTGATACCAGCCTATTTCAAGGTACTCATATATGCTTTTGAATGTTCTCGTGATCAAATGATGTGATCTTCACAACCACACCTTTGCATTGGGAAAATGTCATTACCATGCTGTTATTTCTGTCCTGAATGATCTCATTCTGTGCATCTGGATCCCATGCACCCTCCTTCCCTTCCCTAGGACATCACTCATCCAGGAAAATACTGGCAATTGAAATTATTTTACCTTCACTTCTTCAGAGAAGCCACCTTTATTAGCAGTGAGCTTCATCAGAATGAGAAAAGTATTTTCCTGGCATTGCCCTTTGAACTACAGACAGGAGTGTAGAGACAACTGCGAACCCAGCTCCTGCTGACTGCAGTATCACCAGCAAGAAAGGTCCTGTTTCTCACTTTGCAGTTACTTCTCCATTCCAAAATAGTACCAAACTCCTAAGCTTCAGGTATTTGTTTCTTAGGCCTCTTGGTCATTCACAACTGTGACAAAATCTTTAGAAGGCTCCTGTTTTATGTAAATTAACCCCCCCCCCCCCCCAGATGTTCCCATACCCCAATATTATTTCAGACTATTTGGGACAGAAAATAATATGGATACATAGAGCCTCCATTTGTTCAATTTCAGTTTTTATTGCAGAAGGGTTCAACAATGAACATAAGTCAGTTTACAGGAATTAGTTCCTTCATTATTCTTCCACATGTCTGACCTGGCTAATTTAGGGAAAATCTGCTACAAAGAATAAGGAATAGGAACTGATAACCACTTATCTAAGGACTATTTCAAACATAGACCAGCATGTGCTTTTCCTCAATTCCTTGTACTATTCACTAACTGAAAAACTAATTCATTCTAATATAATAGGTGTAAAGATCCTAAACATACACAACTCAGCAAAATGTAAATAGGCAGAGTATTGAGCTAAAAGAGTAAGGACAAGCAAATTTAAAACAAATAAGACAACCTGACATTTATTGAATCTGTGGAAGCAAATTTAATCACAACTTCATCACTTGGGACCACATATAAAGTTGAATTTGGTTGTAAGGAGTATCAGGTACCTCAATGCCCAACTCCCATTGACTGAAAGAGCAATGCTCACCTAGGAAACTGAACCTGGAGTTTAGCTGTCATGAAGTTAATGAAGTCAGCACGGAAATTTCTATTAAAAATGTTGCTTAACACTAGCAGAGTGATGATCTAAGCAAGTATCCTGCACACTTGCCCAGAGTGGGCCTTCAGTGGATCCCTCCCAAAGAAGGGCATTTCAGTGGGCCTTAGCAGAGGGAGGGCTGGGATCTCTGTGCCTGAGAGCACTCGGTCCTCTATCAGGAGTTGAGTGCTCTTGATGATTCCTCCACATCTCCAGCCAGCCCCACAGAAAGGCAGGCACGTATCCTCACCTGCCCCATTTTGTGTCCTGATGCCATGGGGAGGGAGGCTGTGCACTGGCTGTGAGAGCTCTTCTCAGCAGCTGTGAAAGCACAAGAATAAGTAACTGAAATTAAAAAAAAAAAAAAAAAAAGGCTCCAGGAGCCTTGAAACACCCAAATCGTACCCAAAACCTGCCTTCAGCTCAGGCAGGGGCAATGCTAGCAGATTGCTGGGTGGTGAGGGAACGGGCCCAGGGCCTTCGGCCTTCTGTGGGGACACCTGGTGGTGGCCGCGGGGCTCTTACAGCCAGCAGAGTGTGTCCACGGTCCATGACATGGAGCATTGCCTGGAAAAAAAAAAAAAAAAAAAAAAAGAAAAGAAAAAACACCCAAAACACTTCGAAACAGCACTTAATACCCTCTGGAACACCCTTCTTATTCTTCAAACAGAAGCAGCTCATGTCACTCAGAGGAAAGTGTTTACAAAGAGGAATACACTCTATAAACTGGCTGTAGGCCAGTTGAGCCAGTTTCCTTGCAACAGACTTTCCTCAGTGACTTGAGCATTAGTTTTCGCAGATGGGACACCCTGGGAATACAGTTTGCTTGGAAAATTGTTTAGGGTGGTTAAGCTATACATTTTTCCTATTCCAATGCACTTGGAGGGTGACCTTTCAGGTTGAGGATTGAAAAGTGTGCATTTAGGAAACAAATTACAAGGTATTCTTTTTCTTATCTAGTGAAGTTATCTTAATGTGGAAACTAGAGTTTGATAGTTTGTGCCAATACAGCTTTTTTAAGGGACTGTACCAAAGAAGCTGTCTTGAGCCGCATCCCCACCCCCCTCAACCAGAGGATGTCTATCACCCCACAGGAACAAAGACAACACTGCATTTTTCTTTTTATTTTGTACTTCTTTGGAAAATAAACAGAGGCATTCCTGAATTTATTATGGTTGTATTAATTTTAACCTCCCCCATAAATTTAAATATTTTTCTATAAATGCTGATTCCTGAAAGCATTGTCAGCCATATACAGGATTTACTCACTTTCCACTAAGTCCCATTACATTCCTAATTAGAGTAAAGCCACACATGAAATTTGGAAAATATTTTTTCTATTGAAAATATTTGGCTTAGTATTTATCAGCTTATCTCCTATCTATAAATTCACAGAAAGCCATATTGCTAGTGGTAGGATACACAATTTAATTTTCAAGAACTGAGTATAAGATCAGTATTGAAACAAAGACAGTATTTTCATGGGTGTCTGTAATTAAGCATCTAATTTCTTGTTTCATTTTCTATACACGAGTATTTAGCATCCTAACAGTGGAAATAAATTAAAATGAACAGTCTTTATCCTGAATCAAAATACCCCAGTAACTGAAAACTAGTATTATTTTGGGTTTTCTGTCCATCTCATGAATTAAGCAGAAATGAAACATTCTGATGAATGTTTGTCCCTTCCAGGCAAAAAGGCAGAAAGAGTGATTTATTCTTACAGTAGCTTGGATAAAATCCAGAATGGCAGGGTTCCAGCTTGCTCTAGCAACACTCAAAGTGCAGCTGATTTCAATAAACACTGATATCTTAATGCTTATTTTCCATAAAGCCTCATCTGTGGCTTTTCCAATGATCAAGTTATCTCAACTAACTAGAAGCTTGTTTTGGGGAATAGAAAATAAAGGATTCATAGCAATTTAGGATTTTTCCCCTCTACTAACAATAATTCTGAGGACGAGCTAATTCTAAAAATGCCTTGCCTGACAAGTTAAGCCCAACATAACTCTATATTATGAAACCTCAGGGTTAAAAAAAACACACATGTCAACAACACAGCCCACAAGGAGGTCACAGGTCCCTTTGTGTTTAGGTGACATAACTCTGGGTGTAGCCCAGGCTACTTCCTAGGGGGTGCAAGTTCTGCCTTGCTGCACTCCTCCTTGCCCCTCCAGTCATTCCCATTACAACTGCAACCGCTTCACCACAGGGACCCTCACTCATCCCCTTTGCCTATTGCCAGGGCAGAGGATTCCCAGTCCCAGGACGGGTCTCTAGGTGCTGCTATAACACCAATAATAAATACTCTTAAAACTATTTTTCCGGATATTAAATTGGTACCAAGACTCCCTGGTGTAACTCCTCTGAAAGAAGTGAATAGAAATGTGACACTTATAAGTCAACTGTGGTTCTGACACTGCAGGGCTGGCTCCTAACCCATGCCGTATCTCACCAGAGTGACCAGCTCCCCATTGCCAGTGCCAGAGCATGAGGAGGGTCTGTCTGCCCCAAGACTTGGGATCCATGTTTCAGGTGACTAATGCTTTGATCCAGCAGAAACACGGTATGTATATGCCCCTTTTAAACTAGTACATCACGAATTTTGCAAGTTCCCTTGAACTTACTGTCTCAGGAAAAAGAAAAGTGTTATTTCCAGCATCTTCTCATAAATCTCTCTCCTCAGTAGTATCAGCAAGAATGCTGACTGGTGACCTCACAAGATCAGAGTGTGATACACAAACCAGTCATTAAATCCTAATGAGATGAGGTAAACCAAATGTCTCCAGTACAGATTTTGCCCCTGCTTATAATATGTGTACCTAACATCTCTTAGCTCTAGGGCAGTCTCAGCATTATAATAGGAAAACTGCTAATACAGCTCAGCCACAAGATATTTTTACCCATGACTTAGCGGTTTAAGCAGCTGCAAATTTTATATAGCATCCCTACCACATATTTTTTGATGCGGACTATTGTGTGGGACTGGAGTGTGCTTTACCAGTTAAGTCCAACACATTATGAGCATGAGCTTTCAGACCATGAGGTGTGCAGCTACCTTCTTCAGACAGAAAGAAAGAAAAGCAACAAATACAATGAGAGAGGGAGATCACAGAATCACAGAATTTCTAGGTTGGAAGAGACCTCAAGATCATCGAGTCCAACCTCTGACCTAACGCTAACAGTCCCCACTAAACCATATCCCTAAGCTCTACAACTAAACGGCTTTTGAAGACTTCCAGGGATGGTGACTCCACCACTTCCCTGGGCAGCCTGTTCCAATGCCTCACAACCCTTTCAGTAAAGAAGCTCTTCCTAACATCTAACCTAAAACTTCCCTGGCGCAACTTTAGCCCGTTCCCCCTCGTCCTGTCACCAGGCACGTGGGAGAACAGGCCAACCCCCACCTCTCTACAGTCTCCTTTAAGGTATCTGTAGAGAGCGATAAGGTCGCCCCTGAGCCTCCTCTTCTCCAGGCTGAACAAGCCCAGCTCCTTCAGCCGCTCCTCATAGGACTTGTTCTCCAGGCCCCTCACCAGCTTCGTCGCCCTTCTTTGGACTCGCTCAAGCACCTCGATGTCCTTCTTGTAGCGAGGGGCCCAAAACTGAACACAGTACTCGAGGTGCGGCCTCACCAGAGCCGAGTACAGGGGGACGATCACCTCCCTAGCCCTGCTGGTCACGCTGTTTCTGATACAAGCCAGGATGCCGTTGGCCTTCTTGGCCACCTGAGCACACTGCTGGCTCATATTCAGCCAACTGTCCACCATCACTCCCAGATGGTGTCACCCTGACTAAACAGAGAAAAGCAGATATTCAGTTGCTAGTTATGAACTCTTATCTTGCACTGGAGCAGAAACATCTCACCCGCACTTGTAGAAATATTTTGAAACTGACAGGGAAAATCAGCTTATACAACCTTTCATTATTATCAGTATAGTTACCACTACTATTATTAATTCCAGTAACAACACAACATTTTGTTTTCTAGTCTCACCATGTACTGATGATATCCCCAGTAGACTTATTGCCATATTGTTAAACAAGCTTCTGGACCCAATGTTCTTTAAAGACCGACAATCTAGCCCATCCAAATAGTGGTGTGCAAAATGATATCAAATAGTAGTTGATGCTACTCTAGGGATACACTTGGAAAAGAATAACCACAACACTTCAAAGTGGTCACGGCTAACACCTAGTTATAGACAATGTAAATTCCACTCATATAATATGGAGCTTCTAGTTCATGTAGTTGAAACTAAATCAAATTATGGAGACTGCCAGTTTAGAGGAAAAACAAATCACTATGATGCAAGCAGTGACCAGTGGAAATCAATGAAAACTAGATGTGTTTATTATTTCTTGCTGCTTAGGGCAGACTATTCCCCAGGTTTTTCTGGGTGAACTCTGGAAGTGTTAAGATGCTCAGGAGAGCAATCAACTTATAGGAATATCACCAAGGTCAAAACTCACCATAAGAATTTTTATTGCTGTAGATGGAGCACAGCATACAAAGAAGCCAGCACGCCCTTAAAACTACAACAAACAATAGTGTACCAGGTAGGAAAACAGGCAGTTTTCTTTTAAACTACTTTGTCCTAATGTGAAAAAAAAATCATAGCTACCAGAAAATGTTTTTATTATCTACTTTTCCAGGAAGTTTTAGGCATTAGAGAAGCATTGAAAACTCAAGTGGGAAACTGGGAAGATTTGAGGGAGATTTTGTTGCTAGATTTCAGTTTTGTTATTATCCTTTATATTACTGGGAATGCATAAGAGTAATAAAATTGGCCTACAGGAACAATTTAGTATTCAGTATATGCTCCTATCTTGTCTCTGCAGAGGACTAGCTCCTTTCTAAGGAGAAGCACAGAATCCTCATGTCAATAATTACCAAATAATCTGCATGCATTTTTTTTTTCCTAGCTTCTCCACCCCACCATATATTCATTTACCTGCTCAGAGATACAGCATTAAATGTACAGCATTCACAGGATTTTCAGGATTCTTTCAATGCAACCTAAAATACAATAGCTTCCTGAAATTTCCAGTTCAGATTAGACTTAGTCCTTGTCTTTGCTAATACCCTTCAACAAAAACTGCTAGTGGTTTAAAAAAAGTATTATGCCTATTTCCATATGCGTGAATCTTACATACTCCATTTTGCTTGAATGGTTTCTCACTCCTGTGTTGAACAAGGCAGGAGACGACCCTTCCTTTTGTCCTCCTTGTGCTGCAGACAGACATTGAGGCACCTGAGCCCTCCCTAGGGCAAGGCTAGAGAGCAAGCCAGGTTTCACCCCATGCTCTCACCCCATCGTAGACCTCCACATTACTGGAAAATGGGACATCCATAGTGAACACAGTCCAAAGCATTGGTTGCCCAGCAGTAGGTGATATCTGCAAGCAATTTCCTGCTCTATTCTGCATTGGTGCAGCCTCACCTTGAGTACTGTGTACAGTTCTGGGTACCACAGTACATGTACAACAAGGATATGAAGCTGTTGAACAGTGTCCAGAGGAGGGCTACAAAGATGGCGAAAGGCCTATAGGGGAAGATGTATGAGGAGCACCTGAGGTCACCTGGCCTGTTGAGCCTGAAAAAGAGGGGGCTGAGGGGAGACCTCATCAGTCTACAACTTCCTCATGACAGAGAGTGAAGGGGCAGGCGCCAATCTATTCTCTTTAGTCACCGGTGATAGCACCCTTTGGAAAGGTGTCAAGCTAAGGCAGGGGAGGTTCAGCACATTCTCACAGTTTCCACTTAGTGAAAGCAATGATAATGCCATCAGTACCTATCCAAATTTACTTACCACAAGGCAAAATTTGAATTCACATTAGGGCACCTTTTTCACACGGTCTGTTGTTCAATTTTAACAAATATTTAAGAACATTCTTCAAAGTCCGGTTTACCTGTAAGCACTTGAGCTTCTGAGCTCTATATATTCAATAATAATTTTATTATTATTATTTTAAAATATTTTTAGAGGCTGGAAAGGAAGCTTAGAATCCATGTAAGTAACTTCTCTGAAAACAGACAAGGTGAAGGAAGTACTCAAACTCCCCAACATGAAACAACTGTAGAACCCAGCAACACTTACCAGCCAGTTTCTGAACTTGAGTCACTTCCAAATTACTATATGGTGAAGTTGTACCACCAGGGTTTTACTGTACTGAGAAGGCACTACCAACTTAACTACCTCATAGAGTCTCTAAAACTATTTCACAGAGACAGTAGAAAACACAAAGAAAAAGCAGCCTGCTGGGAAATACTGAGCCCATTTAGCCATGACAGTAGAAAAACACCCTAAGTAACCTGAGCTTCAAGCTCCTCTGGAGTAGCAATTCTTCATGTGCGTCCTCGTGTTTCCTATATAGCAAAGGACAAATGATCCACACCTGGCAGATTTCACTAACAGGGGTGGAGCCAAGAGACCTTGTGGAATAGGCTCATCTACCTGGTTTCAGTCTTTTAAGGTCAATTAATTGCTCTTTATCACTAAGAGAAATAACCTGACAAGGGGCTTAGTGGTTAGAGTTGACCTAATGAATTAACTACAAAAGATGCATGAGGGTCATATTCCTGTTAGTCATTCTGTGAGGAAAATTAGTACAGAGCCTGTTCAAATAAATAAATAAGCAAATACAAAAATAAAAGAAAAAAGAAAATGACCTTAAAGGCAAAATTGCTACCATAGATTTTCATTTGTCTAGTCATGATAGATAAAGAATATAGCAATCAGAATTAATTTTCTTAACATTAGTGTGATTTAAATTTGCTTTTCTGAGATCTCTTCTCTATGTAGGACTTTTCAAAATCTATCCCCGTGACCTCTGACTACATTATTTGCTTTGGCTGCATATAAACTATCACTTATAAATGCCAGGATCCAGATCCTCACTCACTATTCAGGTCAAGGACTGGGCTGAAGGTTTGGGCTTAAAATTAGTTGCATGCCTACATTGCTGTTTCCTGGCAGGTCATGGGAAGAAGATTGGCTGGCTTGGGGGAGCTAATGTACATTTGGCTTTTAGGCTGCAGCCTCTAGATCTGGAAGTTTGAAGAGGGTTGCAGTCTCCAAGCTCAGATACAGCCACATATTAGTCTAGTGCAACTGATTTTTGTGTTCCTTGTACTAGCTGATCCTTCACCTCCTCTTCAGAGACAAGGACATGCGTCTCTTTCATGCTCCTTTGTTAGTAAACCAACCAGGATAGATTAAAGCCTCTTTCTTCAAGTCAGTAAGATACTGGGCTACAAAGATGGTGAAGGGCCTAGAGGAGAAGACATATGAGGAGTGGCTGAGGTCACTTGGCCTGTTCAGCCTAGAAAAGTTTTCTGTCAGATGACTGTATCTAAATGGATGATGCCATTATAGAAACATCCTCCTGTAGATCTAACTTTTGTAGAAACACCTGGTCAAAATAGGAACTGATTTTTATCCTTAAAGGTCAAAAACATACTTTCATGTAATTCAAATGAGAAGCCATTAAAATATAGCCTGGAAAAGAGGAGGCTGAGGGGAGACCTCATCACGGTCTACAGCTTCCTTGCGAGGGGGAGTGGAGGGACAGGTGCTGATCTATTCTCTTTAGTCATCAGTGATAGGACCCACGGGAATGGTGTCAAGGTGAGGCAGGGGAGGTTTAGGCTGGACATCAGGAAGAGGTTCTCCACTGAGAGGGTGGTCGCACACTGGAACAGGCTCCCCAGGGAAGCAGTCACTGCACCAAGCCTGTCAGAGTTTAAGAAGCGTTTGGACTGTGCACTTAGTCACGTGGTCTGAATTTTTGGGTAGACCTATGTGGTGCCAGGAGTTGGAGTAGATGATCCTTGTGGATCCCTTCCAACTCCGGCTATTCTGTGATTCTATGATTCTGCAGTAACTTCTCTGTTTGATGTTGGCCACATGTTGTCACTAGGAGCACAGGCAGGGCATGGAGTGGTGACCCAGTGCCCAGCCAAATGACAGCAGGGGCCTGTGCTGCCTCTTCCAACACACCTCTGAGTTCAGCAACCTCTGGCTCTCACCCATGGAGAGTGACTCCTGCTTGGAGCTGGCAGCACCCATGTGCTGAGTGTGAACCTGGCTCATCTGCTGGCCAGCCTAGAGGTGGTGCACCCCTGTGCCGCTGAACATTTGCATCTCCCAGCTCAGAAGCTGCTTTATTTCTTTGACCATGAAAACGTCATCTTTCCTGCCTAGGGGCTCACTGGTTCTTGCTGCTTCCTCTGCTTTCAATTAGGTTATAATCCTGGAAGCATGAAATCCTCCTCAGCTGTGAGCTGTGAGGAAGTCCTCAAGGAAATCAGCAAAGTGCTTTAGAGAGAACACAGGAGATAAATATAAAAGGCGTTAGTGTGACAAACAGTGGTTTGGGTTTTAATAACTATTGATTTATTTTTTATTCCCTCTGACTGAAGGTGACTCACTGCTGTTTTTTATTTTTAATTAATAGAAGAACATATAATCATAACATTTATTCTCTGTGAGTAGTTCTGTTTATAACCAGCTACAGAAGAAAAGACAACAAAACAGACCTGTTCAATCCCGTTCATGAGTCTGAAATGCGTGTTTGTCCAGAGTCCATAAGAGGCTTTCCTCCTTCTTGTGACTCTAAGTGGTGGTGTTTGGTCAGCTCATGGACACTGAAGAAAATATCCAAAAGCTAAGAGAACTCCCTTTCTTCACTGACCCAAAAGGCTTCAGTTATCTCCCAAACTGGCTATTAATTATGCTGTTCAGGTAAGGGGCAACTGTGCCCTGAGGGTAACTAGTACAGCACCGGTAAGGAGCCCTTTTACAACCATTAGAAGAACTCAAAACTGCTGTAAAAGGTTTCCCTCTGCTGCTTGGTGACCAGCAGGACTTGCCATGCTCACAAAGGTGTCCCTGCATGCACACCTACATTTCTGAAAGCTGCAGCAATCAGCAATAAGATCAACTAATATTTTGGAAGGAGAGACTCATAAGAGGCATCATCCTGAGATCTGAGCCATGCTCAGAGCTGTGTGTATTCACGCAACAGCTAGACTGTCTTTGAACTCTCTCCCTTTGGCTCTTAGGTCCATTTGCAAAACTGAAGTATGGAGTAGCTAGCAAGTCGGAAGTGGAATATGCACAAGCGTTGATCACAACAAAGAGTGAAACCACTCATCTAGTGAGCCAGATAACTTCATCCCCTCACTTATTCATGGTAGTGGAGCTTATTTATTTGGATTTGTTACCCAATGCTTTTCCTGGTGTATTAAATTGTTTATCAATTAAGTGGTAATCGAATTTTGTACTGTTGTGTACATAAAGCAGCACCAGGATGCCAAATTGCTCACTGTTGGATTTTAATCCTTGATTTTCCACATGGATTTAATTTTTCATAAATATTAATAGTTCAGCAGTCTACTGAGAATCAATGTGGCAGAGAAAGACAACAGGGAACAGACCCTTTGCTCTGAAATTGTTGGGGAAACACCAAGCACAACAAGTGCTGATACCTTCCATCTGCTAAGGCCATAGTGGCTTTGAATTAGTCAAGGGAGGAGACCATGTATTTCTTGGATGAGAAGAATGTGTTAAGTAGAAATCTCATCTGACAGATATGTCCTACTGGGGTCATGTTGATGAATCTGCTTTCTTTTGTTTCCTTTTTTTTTTTTTTTTCTTATTCACTTGTTTTTGTTCTGTTATTTCATTTTGTTTTGTTTTTAGCAGATTACCTGAGGCTCTGACACTCTGTCTTTTCTCCATACAGCATCCTGTTTCCTGGAACCACCAAGCTCAGTTACAACCTCAGTTACATCTGTGCATCCCAGTGGTTTTCAGTTAACTCTATGATTCCTCCTTACCCTGGTACCTTTCTTCCATCAGTGATTTTTAGGTACGAGGGGCACAACAGCTAAGGGGAAGTAGATGGAGCCTCTTCAGCCTCAGAAGAAGAGCTGCAGTGGTGGAGAGGGTTCACCTTACTGCCTGTAGTGCTGAGAGCCTCTACAGAATCACTGACTGCTACACAGGTGTTTTTATGAGAAGAGGTAAAAACACTTGTAGCAACCACAACACTATTTCGTGGTGTTGTTTTCCAGGGCAAAAGCTATTTATGTATTTGCAGTCACACTCCACACTTGCTACTTTATGTATCTTATATGTTTTATAACTTAACCTGCTTCTGCAGGTTCATGTTCTGGTCCCCATTGACAATAAAGTAATATAGCTGATCAGGGATAGTAGAAACACTCAAAACTATGGATATTAAATTCTTATACACCAAAGAAAGCCTTACTCTTGACAGAACATGGAAGAAGAGATAGCGAAAGGATGCAGAAGACCCTCACAGTTCCAGCCCCATCTTTTCACTTACAGGAAGAGATGATGCATAGTAGGTAAGGGAAGGAGCAACTGAGGAGTGAAGAGGGTGGATATACCCTGGAAATGCTATGGAAAATGTTGGTTTAATATCATTCCTGTTTTTTTGTTTTGTTTTGGTTTGGTTTTTTGACATTGTCTTGAAAGGATCACATTGGACTGAACACTGTATTGGTGAGCTTGGCCAGATGATCTGCTGTACATAGAGAAGGAGCAAACTCCAGCACCAGTACTGCTGGCGGGAGACAATGCAGGGGCTCTCCCCACCCCCAGCCCACCTCCCACTGTGGTATTTTACACAGGAGGAGATGACCAAGGCCTTGTGGCTTTTCCTGTTGGAGCATGAACATCCTCCAGGAAAGGAAGTGGTTGGTTTGTCTAGACAAGTCTCATGGGGACAGAACCCATGAGGTTCAGGCTTTTAACCCTTTGAAAATGTTTTGTCAAACACGAAGTTACAAAGTTTTATTAGAGAAAAGACTGGGGACTTTTGGATAGTTTTGATTCACGTAACAGAGCAAACTTTTCTGCCTCTTTTTTAAAGCACCAGTGCTTTACTAGGTCACATTTACTCATTCAGCAAAGATTATTATAATAATGTGTTCTGATTATCCTCTTTTTTCATGATTATTAAAACAGAAGGCTTTAAACACAGTCTCTACACATTTAACTCCTTTCCTTTCCCGTGCTCTACACCTTCCAGCATTGTGCCCTGTGAGGATATTCCATCGCAGCACTGCCCTTCTTGAAGCTTCTGGGACAACTGTGTGAATCTTCTGTTCCTCTCCTTAAATTTCAGTTCATTATGGATAGTAGCAACACCTGTGGCCATAGACTTCAAAGCATTTTCTATATGAAACATCTATTATTTGCATATATATAAATACATGCATATGGATGTGCATATATATATTCTTCATGAGTCTGAAAGAACACAAAATTCAATTTGCTTTTCTGCTGTAATCAGGAGACCTGCAGCATCAGTGTTTCTATTGACACCTAGTTAC